GAAGACCAACTTGGTGGTAGGCATGGGCATTTGACCCGGACGGGTCGGGTCAGGTGTACTGAGTATCCCGACCCGGGCGGGTCGGGTCGGGTTTATTCGTCCGGGTCGGTTCGCCCCGTGACCCGACAAGGCATCTTTTTCACGGGTACCCTTGACCCGTCGGGTCGGGTCAACCCGTGACCCAAAATCGGGTTAAGATACAGAAATCGTAGGATAGACTGCAATAGCGTTGCGCGAATGGCTCTACATCGGGCTGGTAAACAAGAGGCATGATAGCTATAGTGTAGGAGGAGGTGTAGGAGAGATCGTGGATAGGGGAGATCTTGGATAGGGAAACCTAGGTCGAAGTTGAAATTCGTACTCCACAGTCGCCAAATTTCTGCACAATGTTGTCTCCAACCAATTTCCCCTCCCATCGCATATCTTCACCGCATTGCATCTAGATCATCCAACCCATTTGAGATTTGAAAGCTGGACGGTCGTCACTTCCAGATCTACAACAAAGTTGATTGAGGAAGTCTCCCCCCCTCCCCTTCTGAGGGAAATACCTTGGATCCGCGTTTCCGCGTGTTACCTGCGGGAAATTCGCAGATCCGCGGATCTGCGGCGAAATTGCTGATTTGTGAAGATCTGCAAGGAAAACCGCCGATCCGCGCGATCGCCGATCCGCGGGGATGGCCAATTTTTATTATTATTACCCGACCCGACCCGACCCGAAGTTACACTACCCGAGGACGGGTCACAAAGACCCGTCCCCCCTATGGCGGGTCGGGTACCCTAAATTTGGCCTATCTTGACCCGCAGACCCGACCCGACCCGACCCGAACCCGTCGCGGGTCGACCTTGACGGGACGGGTCGGGACGGGTCGGGTCAAATGCCCATGTGACATGTCTACTTGGTGGGCTAGGTTAGGATTATCCGTTGGTAAAACGAAATGTCACAAGGAAGGAGGCAGAGGTAATTAAGAATTTATTGCAGAAGGCACACGACACTAGGGTTGAGCAAAGTACCAAACAACACTTTGGTTGAGGTTCGGCCTGATGGTTCAGGTGCGCAGACCAGGGTAGGGCAGGGATAGGCATGAGAAAACACGTACACGAACATGCTTGATTCAAACTGATTCGAACACCTGTAACAGTCGAAGGAAACACGTTCGGTTCGAGTCGAACACTTTTCAAGAGTGTGGTGTTCGACTGTTCGAGTCGAAGAAGTTCGAATTCGGTTCGAACTAGCCTTGAGCATAGGGCGTCACTGCAGATGAGCGGGATTACCAGATTCCTCGTTTACAGCTCGGATTGCCTTGATGCTCAGTCAACCCGACCCTCCCTTGGGTCACAGCTGGCCTGCTCCTAAAAGCCCCAATCGGGTCGGCTGCCCTGGGATCCTGAACCGACTACGACCCGACCCAACCCGGCCCGTACCCGACATATTTCAACCAAAAAGGAAAGGTTCAACCGGTTCGGGTCAAACATAGTTTTGCAACTGAAGTGGATGTTCAATGTTCGACTCAAACATGTTCCTGTTCGGCTCTGTTCCATATTTATCCTTTTCTATTCTGTTCTTTTTAGCCATTTTATTTTCCAGCACGTAGTATTGGTGTGGGAACCTTCTAAGTAGGGGTGAGCATAAGGGCGAACCACCGTTCAGTTCAACATGTTAGAGCCAAAAAACATCTGGGAGGTAGGAATAGGCTTAGATGCTGTGTGCAAACAAGTTCAAGTCAAACCGAACAGAGGTTCGAGTTTGCGCACCCATGTTTTGTTGTACCTTCCTAACACCTGGAATAAATTCATAGATACCAATCTCCCTGGCTGATGCTATGATGAGCATACATGTGGGGTTATGGTATGTGCGACTTACAAGACAGTGAGCTGAGCAAGAGCAATAACACTAGAAGGAATGCTGCCTGAAAGCTGGTTTCTCGAAAGATCCCTGAGATTGGAAAGGGAAGCAACAGAGGCATAGTAAATAACCACTCAAATGTTGACTTGTAAGTAGGGCATGGACAGGACATGAGCAAGCAACTGAATCAAACAATTTTAGTTATTCAACTCTGTTTATTGAACTCGCTCGGTGCCAACCCCAACCGGTTCAAAACGAACCGGCCAGAGGCTCAGAGATCTGGCCAAACCAGTCAGTAGGTTCGAACCGAACCAGAGATGAACAGCAGCATGGCTAAACGGGATGGAGTCAGAGACGGGAAAGAAATGTAGAGGTAAAGGAGGTGAGGAAGTTGAGAGACAAGGTAGTAGGGAGGGGAGTACACATGAGCATAAGTCTGAGCCGACAGTTCCGCTTCGGCTTGTCGCCTTGGCTCGTCAAGCCAACAATCATGCTCTATGGCAGTCTAGACAAGCCGGACTCGGAGAATTGCGTGGAAGACCCGGCAGTTGACTCGTGGAAAAGCCGGATCCGGCTCATTCCGGCTCGTGACAGCACAAGACGAGCCAGCTCGGCCCGGACTTATGCTCATGTGGCAGATGGGAACCTTACAGAACTGAGAGAGATGGCAATGATCCAATTTCCGCAGGGATGGAACCCGTCAGCTGATTATTTTTAAAGGACCTGTCATTGCAGTTGAGTGCACGAAGAAAGAACCAAACCATGGGGTTTTAACATGGAGAAGCACAAGGGCATTGACTTGTGTCAAACGAAGGACTAGCATTCATTACAATCACATGTTTCAGCGGTGGTTTACTTTTCTCTGATGGGAAACTTGCAGTGGTTATTAGAAGAGGAAAATAATCCTATGGATTAATTTTCTGAATCTGACATAATACGCACACCATTCAACACTTTTAGGAACGTGGAAGGATTGAGCTTTCGGCCCGGGCGGGTCGATTCAACCCATTGCTCAAGCGGTAGTGGAACCAAGTTACAGGAGAGTAAGAGCAGTGAGCTTTGTGATCGAGGAGGGCATCCTGACAACATGTTGCCGTCGAGAGCGCTGTTAGTGGTGTAGGGGGTGGATGCATGGGAAGTATGGTTCCAAGACCATTTGTGTGTTTGCAGGACCACACCAGACGAAGATCAGAAAGGGATAGGGACGAGCATAACCCGAACCTATGTTGCAGAACACGCTCAGAGCGACCTGTGTCCTGCGTCCAGATGCTGCGTCTTGACGCAGGACGCAGGACGCAGGACGCAGGACGCAGGACGCAGGACGCATGGCGGAAAAAAAAAAATCGGACAGCTCGGAGGAAAATTGCGCGCGCAAAATCTAATTTTGCGATTTTGTCGCGTAAGTCAATTTAGCGAAATTTCGACCCCCTCCCACCCATTTCGACCTTGAAAAACAGTCCAAAAACCAGAATTGAACCCCCCCCCCCCCCCCCCCCCCCCCCCCCCAAAATTTGAGCAAATCCCACTCGACCGCACTGCATCTACATAACCCAACCAAATTGGTAAACCACCAAGAGGATTTAGGAGCACAACTTTTTCATTTTTGCTCCTCTTCTTTCACTCCAACCCATTCTTCTTAAAAAATCCTTGGGGGTTTAGTTAGCTTCTTACCTTAGCAATGGCTTCTCCTACTCCTCCATCTTCTTCCGCCTCAAATGTGATCTACGTCCATGCCCCCCCCCCCCCTCCACATGGCCCATAGAAGGATTTTTGGCTGCCCGCACTTTTTTTTGCCTACCCTGGCTTGCGTCTTCTCCAACGTCTAACCTGCCGCAAGCGTCTGAGACGCTAAACGCTTCTTCTGCAACATGGACCCGAACGTGTTTGTTTCCAAATCAGATGAACGCTTGCCTTGCCAAAACGGAACGCGTTCGGTTTGGGTTGAACCTATTTTGAAGAACAGGTGTTCAAGTCAAACCCTGTAGTGTTTGGGTCGAACACCAATTTGATTGACACGAACTCAAATGTGTTCGGATCGAGCAGCTGCACCCCCTCCACACACCCCACCTCCCCTCACCTTCCACAGCCCCATCACACCTGTCCACATCCTCCAATCCTCTCCACAGCCTCCTCCAGGTCCTCCTCCTCGAAGCCCCCCCTTCCAGTGTCGTTCCACTTCAATCTCGATTTCAGCAATGCAAACGCTCGAGCAAGTTCGTGTTCGACGCGGTTCGAGTGTTTTAGGCAAACATGTTAGACCCGAACAGTATATAGTTTGACAAGAAACGCGTTTTGCCAAGATATTATTACAGTTGGGTTCGACTCGAACAGGTTCTAGTCGAACCGAACAGGGGTTTGCTTATTTGCTTATCCCGCAACTTTTCGTATTAGCTCCTGATTCTGTTTATAAATGAAATTCTTTCTTGCTGATTTTTTTTTAACTCCAGAAGCTCGCGCTCTTAAAAAAATGGAACAACTTGTCAAAAAGGCCGAAGAGGAACAAGAGAGGATAGCATGAGCAATCTACCGAACCAAACCTGATTGAGTCGAACCAGAAAGAGGATTGCCCAGTTCAAAGTTCGACTAATATTAGTCGGACTGGGAAGGTTCGAACCGAACCAGAGATGGTTCACTTAGGTTCGTTTCGAACCAGTCCAGGTTCGGATCGACCAGCCCTAACCTAACTGCACACTAGCCCAAATACTTGTTTAAGTTAGTTAATTCAGCCCTCAAAACACGGTTCGCCCTAGAGACCTATTGAACCTAAAGACCAGACGCTCTTATATGCTGTGGGGGATGGGGGGAGGGGGGGGGGGGAGTGTGGGGGGGGCGGGGGAGGGCGCCGGGGGGTTTGGGGGGGGTGGCCAGAATAGTGTAAGATAGTCGAATCGATCGAACCAGTCGAAAGGCTAGGTTTGACTTAAACTGGCTGGCAAAGACGGGCTTTGCGTCAAACTGAACAGCAACTTGATTTGCTCATGGCTAAACGGGATGGAGCCAGAGACGGGAAAGAAATGTTAAGGTAAAGGAGGTGAGGAAGTCAAGAGACGAGATTAGGGGCGAATGTTCCAGAGCTAAACGAGATTAGGAGATAAGTCAACATGTTCGAGGCGAACCGAACAGGCCTTTTTTTTTGCCTAAATTGTTCGGCCCGAACATGTTCGGTGTTCGGCCGAACATGTTCGGTGTTCGCCTCAGTCAAGAAAGCCCCCAAAGTCGAACACGAACTTGTTCGTGTTCGACTCGGGGGCTACGCGAACACCAAGGTGTTCGCGTCAATTTCGGCCGCGACCAATTTTAGGTCGCGGCCGATCTGAGTTTGGGCTATCTTTGCTAGCTCAAACTCAATCGCGTTTCTTTAGCTTAGCCACCCTACTACCACACACCCCCACCCCACCACCCTTGCATTCTTGGAGTTGTGGCCTTAGCTCTCCGTCACAACTAGTCCTCCGAGAGATCTAAACTAGGGTTTCGTTGGTAGACTCTACGTAGTCTAGGCTAGGTTTCAAGTTGTTCTTGTGGCCAGAGGATAGGCGAGGGCCGCCGACAGAGGGCGTCGCACCGCCAGAGATTGCCATTGAGGGCGAGGGGGCGGAGGACGATGACGAGGAGGAGGAGGAGGAGGAGGAGGAGGAGGAGGAGGAGGAGGAGGAGGAGGAGGAGGAGGAGGAGGAGGAGGAGGAGGAGGGGGAGGGTGAGGGGGATGCTGATGACACAGCGACTGGGGTGGAGCCTGCTGTTGGTAGTAGCAGTGGCGCGGCGTTAGCGTAGGGTTTTTATACATTATATAACTCTTGTTAGACAATGGGATGTTGTTTGTAGCACTGGGTCGGTTGCAGGAACACTGGGGCACCATGCGAACCCTTTGTTTATCTCTCTGGCCCGAAAAAAACCCTTTCTGACAGGTGTGATTATAGTGAATGTGATCAAAGGCGAACTCGAACATGTTCGGGTCGAACATGTTCGAGTTCGCCTCCGTGCTCAAAATGTTCGCCCCTTGGGCCGAACATCGAACACCATAGGCGGCCTAAATCGTTCGCCGAACCGAACAGTGTTCGGTTCGGCTGTTCGAGCTGTTCGACCAGGGACGAACTCGAACCTGTTCGAGTTCGGCCTTTGCTCAACCCTAGACGAGATAGTAGGGAGGGAGTAGACATGAGCAAGGCACGAATCCGAACACGTTTGACTCGAACCTTGCCGAACATGTCGGTTGTTCGAACCGCACATGTTCGGTTCGTTCAAACAATTTTGCAGAAAATACATGTTCGAAGTTCGCCTTACAGAAACGAACACTTGGATGTTTGCGCGAACATTTTAAGGCTCGTGGCGAACTCGAACATGTTCGAGTTCGCCATTCACTTTAGTCACATACTGGGGGTTTCAGCGTACCAAAATTTCGCGCTTCACTGTTTCGATTGTATCGCGACAGTGATTTCGCAATTTTCGCCCAGCCAACCCACCCCACCCAAAACCCACCGTACCGCAATGCACCTCCCAAACCCAACCTGGTTGGACACACACTCAGTTCACACGCTGCCTTACTCCCGCAACTACGCTGATAAACCTAATCCGTGCGATTAACAACGGAAATGTCTAAATAGCCTAGAACGTACGTGATTTCGGCGTATGTAAGTGGCTACGTAGTGCCTAAGCTGTTACTAACCCGCTCTAGACAATAGATTGAGATCGAAATGATCCCACTCTTTGATTTCTCAACCCTACATTGCAAACCAGCATTGCCAATGCCAATGTCGTGCCCATTTATCCGCGAACACGTTGATGTTCGCATAGGTCGTTTTCGAACTCGAACATGTTCGAGGTTCGAAACGGCGCGTCAAAAAGGCCTTTCGAACCGAACATGTTCGACCCGAACTCGAACACGTTCGGGTCGAACATTTTTTGCCAAAAAACAAGGCGAGTCGAACCGAACAGCCGTTCAAATTTCTGCTCATGTCTAGGAGGGAGTACACATGAGCATAAGTCTGAGCCGTCGGTTCCGCTTGGGCTTGTCGCCTTGCCTCGTGAAGCCAACGTTCATGCTTCGTGGCTCGGCTGCTGTCTAGACAAGCCGGACTCGGGGAACTTGCGCGGAAGACCCGGCAGTTGGCTCATAGAAAAGCCAGAGCTGGCTAATTCCGGCTCGTGACAGCTCAAGACGAGCCAGCTCGGCCCAGACTTCTGCTCATGTGGCAGAGGGGAACCTTACAGAAATACGAGAGATGATACTGATCCAATCTCCGCAGGGATGAAACCCGTCAGCTGATTAAAATTAAGGGACCTGTCGTTTCAGTTGATTGCACAAAGGAAGAACCAAACCGTGGGGTTTTAGCATGGAGAAGCACAAGGGCATTGACTCGTGTCAAACGGAGGACGGAGGGATTTGCCCAACAATATGAACCTCCGGTCCAGATATCACAAAGAATGAGGAGAACAATGCTGATGAGTGTTCCTGAAATTAGGTATAGGAATATAGATCAGTAAGGAGAAGGCAGCTTGACTTATGGAACGTGACGAATGAGCCCCTGGATTTTTGTTGACCTGAAACGGGGCCCGCTTGACTTGTCAAGTGGACGCATCAAGTGTTCAATGGGTAAAATTCAAACCCCAAAAACTCTGAACTGCTCATAGTAGGGAGTAGAAATTAGCTAGGTCTGAACTGTCCGTGTTCCTTGATAGGCTTGCATTAGACGTGGGAATATTACCCCCGTCCATGCGGATCTAGCGGTTAGAAGTCAGGAGACGACGAGCATTGTTCATCCAGGAGTACCTGCTGTCTCATAAAAGTAGGAGCCAGCTCGTACTGGCTCAACCAACTCGCCCAGACGGACGAGCCACGAGCCGGGTGAGCTGCCGCCCCGGTTTGTTGTGCCGCCGGCTCGTCACGGCCTAGACTTGTGCTCATGCGGCAGAGAGGAGCCTTACAGGTATTTTAGAAGACGTAGTGAACCAACTTCTGCAGGGATTGAACCCGTCAGCTGGTTATTCTGAAGGGCCCTGTCATTGCATCCACATGCAGCAAGAAAGAAACAGAATATGGGGTTTGAATATGGGCGACACAAGGGCAGTGACTCCTGCCAAACGGTAGTCGGCTAAAATTGCTTGACAAGATGAGCCTTTAGAGGTCGTGCACTAGATGAGGAGAGAAATGCTGATGGAACTGGGATCATGAAACTAGTAATTCAGGAGAAAGCAGTGAGAGTGTGATGGAAAAGGGAATGAGGCATATTTGAGCAAGGCAAGACCTCACCCGACCTGGGCTTTTGGCTAAGTCAGGCTGCTCCTCGGTGGGGTCGAACCGATTATTTCAACCTGACCAAACCCAACCTGAACCAGCTCTCGGGTCGGGATTTGCCAAGGTATATGCCGACTAGGTATGAGAAGGGCACCGAACCGCGGTCCAGATTTCCCGAAACCGAACTGCTATTTCTTCTTCCAGCTCGTCAACGAACCGAACCGGTTCGTTACACAAATCGGTTTGTCGGCTAAGTTGGAATATACAGTTGGCGTTCCAGGCGTACTACGTTTGTACGCTGGCGTACATACGCAAAAACGGGATACGCTAGAAAAACGCTTGAATTTCGGGCGGGCAGCCCGTTGGAACAAAAAACCCTAAAAATCGGGAATCGCGAGTTGCGTTACGGAACAATTTGTTCGCACCTCGCGAACTCAATTTGGGTCTCGAGAGTTGTATAGGTTCCACCGCATTGAATCTCATCGTACCTCTCAGATCCAACCCATCCATCCAAGAAAGCCACGCACACCATGCAGGCACGGAACATTTCGAGCTTGGAGCTCGTCGACCTAACCCACGCAGTCTTCATAGTCGACTTTCACGCATCGCTTTCTGTAACACGCGCGAAGCTTCTTAACCCACTGCAGCCATGTCTACCATATCAAGCACTCCTGCAGGTGCGAGTATGTTCAGATTGCGTCCGCGGAAGGACCCATTGATATCCGCAAAACCCCCCGCAGAAGATAAGGCAGGATAGGTACTATGGGTGTATAACACCCTCCCCTCCTCCCCTCTCTAGAAGAAGTATATTACCCTGCCCGAAAAAGGTTTTTACCCTGCCCGCCCCTCCGTATTTCAAGCGTATTTGAACATCCCTTCTGGACGTATTGCGTATTATACTCTAGCGTATACACGCATGCGTACAAAACGCGAAACGCGTATATTCCAACTTAGTTTGTCGGTTCGTGTGGTTCGTTTTTAGCAAATTCCTGAGCCGCAACGAACCGACCCTGGACATGCGGGTTCGAATATAACCCAAAAAACCATAGTGTTGGAGCCCAATTTGAGGTTTTACTCTCTCATAGTCTCACAATACTCCCCTTCCAACTAGTATATGTGTGTTTCCTTGTTCTTGTTTGGGTTTCAGCTATGTTGTGCACCGAGTATATCCAGTGGGTAGTTTCTCACCTTTGCTCTTCGAGGTTGTGGGTTCAACTCTCAGCATCTGCACGTTCCTTTCTCGTGATGCTCACCATGGCATGTCCACAGTCCACCACACTCACCCACAGTGAAGTGTGGTCACAGTTGGCATTGCCACCTGTCCACTCATCCGATGGTCAATTTGCTGGCCCCTATGGTGTGCTACATGCTGCCATGTGGGCTGTGCTGGAACTGGAGCTTGAACCAGGGTTGAGGAAGAGGCAAACACGAACATGTTCGTGTTCGCCCAGGGCGAACATGTCATCTGGGCGAACCGAACAGTGTCTGGTTCGCCACGAACGCTTTTTGAGAAAATGGTGTTCGCTGTTCGCCTCTAGGGGCGAACACCCCTATGTTTGCCTCGAGCATGAACATGCTCTTGGCGAACATGTTCATGCTCGACTTTTCAACAGCCGTGGGATGGGGGAAATGGGCTTCTAGAAATGGTACAGGCGTCGGTTTCAGCAAGGGGAGATGCTATGGTGAATGAAGTTTAGGTTTTCCGCTAATTTCTTCCTTAAATGCCCCAAACACAAGGCGAACACTAACATGTTCGTTTTCGGCGCGGCTTGGCTAGCCGTGGCGAACCGAACGCGAACATGTTGACCCCTGGCCAAAAAAAGCAAAGTGTTAAGTTTGCCACGAACATGTTCGGGGCATACGGACCAGGTGTTCACCCTTGTGCTCATGTCTAGCTTGAATTGATACCTTAGTAATGAGCTTTGGAATCTTTAAGTACATTCAAGAATGAGCAAGGAATGGATGGGAGAGAATCGGGGGCAATCCCAAGGGGCTCGGTTGAAATCTTCAATTGCAGGAGGTGCACAAAATGCTTACAAGTGCGCCAACTTCCTCAATGAGCCAACCTCTGCAGGAATAGAGCCGGTGAGCTGATTTTCGTAAAGATAACTGACGTGAAACATGATGAAGATATGATGGAATGTGAGGGAGAGGGAAAGGCAAAAAACATAATTGTAAAGTCAGCAGGGGCATGATAAAGGAGGCGAAGTTAATCATTATAGAAAAGGACCAACTTGGCGGGCTAGGTCAGGATTATTCCTTGGTCGAACGAAATTTCACAATGAAGGGGCGGAAAAAGGTGGTTAAGAATTTATTGCAGAAGGCAGACGACAATAGGGTTGAGAAAAGTACCGAACAGCACTTTGGTTGAGGTTTGGCCGGACGGTTCAGGTGGGCAGACCGGGTTAGGCATTGCGGGAATAGGCATGAGAAAAGTCGTACTCGAACATGCTGGATTCGAACTGGTTCAAATACCTGTAACAGTCGAACACAACAAGTTCGGTTCGAGTCGAACACTTTTCAAGAGTGTGGTGTTCGA